AACTGAATGTTGCAGTCCAGAGTGAAACTCAGTGCACGTCCCCAGTGCACAGGGAGGAGCAGGATGAGAGGTCCATGAGAAACCTGTAGGTATGGGCAGTGTATATCAGCCACTAATTCAGGAGTGCCAAAGAACTACCCAAGCATTTCAAGCAGAAAATGGAAGAGAGTGAACTTAACACACAGTCTCAGAGAGATGTCAAATGCTCAGTAATAGCACGTGGCCAGGAGTACAGCCCCTCCTCACCCCTTTTCTCATCTCCAAGAGGATAGGGAAGATGAAAAACAAACAATAAGATAAAGCATCAGCAGAAGTAAAGTCCGAATCCCTAAGACATTAGAAGGTTAAATAGAGAAAATTTAGGAACGATAACTCAGGCCATCATCTGTGAGACATGTAAGATTGTCAGCATAGCAGAGACCAAAGCCCCAGATCTTTATGATGAAGTTAAAAAAAAAAGAAAAAAGAAACATCCAAATTTAGTTTGAGGTTTTATAATTTAGGTTAATATGACCATATCTAAATAATAGAAAATATCTACAAAAATGTCTTTGTACTACAAAATGCCTTTGTTTAGATAAAAAAAATACTGCCACCACACGATGCTTAATTATAACTTTAACACATACTGGATTATCATTTGTATTCCCAGCAAGTAATTAAAAAGATACATTTCATCCGTAATAAAGCTATCAGTGAAGACAGCAAATGCAGTCTGCCAATGGTAATACTTAAAGGAAAGGTAAGAGTCATTTCACAATTTGACATTAATCGCTCAACAGTCGACATTGAAAAAAATAAGGATATAATTTAGGTAAATTTGGACTATCTCCTAGTATGGGTCATGTAATCAATTGAAGAAAACACTCAGTTCTCTTGGGATCACATTTAAGCACTTCATCCTGAGTAGTAAGTAGGCCTATTTAGGAGAGAGAGATTGATACTTTTAGGACCCAGAAACCAGTCCCCTTTTATATCTGAAGGTGACTATCATTTCCAATTCTGATGCTACCTCTAGGCAGCTGGCAATGTTTCTTTCTTATCCAGGATCTGGATCCCAAACCCAGAGTATTAGTTCCCACCACCACACCCTGGTCAGTGGATCGCCCATTGCTACACTCTACAGGTGGGAAATGCAAATGTAGATTACTATGCCTGAGCACAGCTTGGTGACCTGTCCCTTCTTGGGAAGGCCTTCTCTTCCCTGATGTTTCCAGGTCCTCCTAGTCTCTAAATAATTATTTATATCTGAATTCTTGTTCCAGAGTCTAGCTGAGGAGGCTCAATTAAATAACCCTGAGTTATCTTCATCTTAACCTAAGACTTTAGCGACAAGAGAACATGGCTAGTTACACAGGTATCATGTGAATGCCTGCTGATGAAGCTAAACCTGCATGGTCATTGTGGTGTAAAATGAGCATAGAGCCTCACAACACTCTCCTAGCTCACTCGTAGTTCAGAGGACTGCACAAAGAACTCTGAATACAGGAAAGGAATAGCGAAGCATGGGTAAAGGCAGAACGTTAGGTAGAAGAGCCTTCCTGAGACTCATAAAACACCATTGTGTTGGATGCATGGGCTCTGTATGTGAAGTATCCTTTGACCTTAAAGGTGCACCTCAGTGTTTCTGCCTTCTCCCATGTTGCTGCCTTCTCTGTCCTCAGTACAGATCCCCCATCTTTTCTGTGTGTGACTTCATCTCTCCCTGGTTCTTGGTGTATTTCAATGTCATTGTCTTTATCCTGTTCCTCTTACAATGCATGTTCTCAAGGAGGATGCCCTCCTAAGGACCATACTGTTATCTGTACCCCTGAGCAGCCAGCCACCAGCCATTCTGGGTCAGTGTGACACTTTCCTGTATTTTCTTAGCCACAGTTGTTCCTGTAACTACCAACGGGAGCTGATTTCTTGAATTTTTACAAGCTATTTTTAAAACAAGAAAATTAATCTGTTTTTTTTTTTTGGTTCTCTAATGTCCCTCAATACTTCAGTTCCTTGGGGTTGTCTCTTACCAGATCCTTCCTTCTGTCGAAACAGTTTCTTCACAGTCTGGCAGGCAGAGCCGTCTCCAAGACACACGCCGCAGCGATCCTCGGTAGCATTGGAGTCAATCTCATAGTCACAGCCAACCCTCTGCAGGAAGACAAGGCTGGGATGAATGACACAGCTAGGCGATGTCATACCTGCCTCTATTGTGACTTCTTCTTTCCCACTTTATTTTTCGTAGTCTGAGTGTTCGTTTCCTTATCTTGGTGATGATAGGCACAGGGATAACCAAAGCACCCTCCTATTGGTACAAGAAATAAAAACATCCCTCCTCAGCCATGGGGGCATTAGCTTCAGGACAATCAACATTTTCCAGATACTCAGATGTCTTAGTCAAAGGGCACAATATTTGCATATAACACATGCACACCTTATATTCTTTACATCATCTCTAGGACAATTATAATACCCAGAGACCACATCAGCCAGAAAATCGGGTAGGCTGCCTCTATAACCCCTCCTTCACCACCCCAGAATGCAAACCCCCAGTCTCATCCCTTGGACTGCAACATAACACTATCTGTAGGCTTGAATCACCTCTGCTCATATTCCCTGTGGACCCCACAGATCATCCCCTCCTAACCTCCCTCTCTCCACTTGTTGCTGTATCCCTTTCCTCTCTGATCCCAAAACCATTTTCCAACCTTTCTTTCCTGAACTCATCCCAGAATCCAAGCCTCCAACACCAGCAGAGATTCCCTGTGAACACACCAGCTAAACAGACCAGAAAAACAGGGGACATACAGCCATCATATTCTCTGAAAATCCATAGAGGAACAGAGACCAAGGAACAAAACACCCATGCAACAAAGCCAAATCCAGAAATCAGCACCTAGACCTATAGTCAGCCCCAACTCAGATACCCAAGCCATCTTCAAAATTTTTGACCCAGAATTGATTCTGACTAAAAGAAATGCAGGGACAAAAATGGAGCAGAGACTGAATGGCCGACCAGTGACTGGCCAAACTTGGAATCCATCCCATGGACAGGCACCAAACCTTGACACTATTATTGATGTCATGTCACGCTTGCAGACAGGAGCCTAGTATGGCTGTACTCTGAGAGGCTCTACCAGCAGCTGACAGAGACGGATGCAGACACTTCACAGCAAACAATTAGACTGAGGTTGGGGACTATGGAAGAGTTAGGGGAAGAACTTAAGGAGCTGAAGGGGATGGCAGCCCTGTAAGAAGACCAGCAGTATCAACTAATCTGGACGCCTGGGAGCTCCCAAAGACTAAGCCAGCAACCAAAGAGCATACATACATGGGCTGGTTTGAACCTCTGTGCCCCCCCCCCCATATGCAGCAGAGGACTTCCCCCACCTCTGTCTGGCCTCAGTGGGAGAGGATGTGCCTAATCCTGTAGAGAACTGATGCCCTAGGGAAGGGGGGATGCCCTGGAGGGGGAAGCACCCTCTCAGAGGTGAAGGAAAGGAAAGATGGGGTGAAGAACTCTTGAAGGGGGACCAGGAGCAGGGCAACATTTGGGATGTAAATAAATAAAATAATTTAATTTTTAAAAACCACATAGTTAACAACAACCAGGGCATTCTGTCTCTGGGCTAGAGCCCAGTGATCCTACCACAGCAAGCTGTGACTAGTCAGATATTTGAAACAAAAGAAAATGACCTTAAAACAGCCTTGGTGACTATGATAGAGGTCTTTAAAAAAAGAATGAATAAACACCTTAAAGAAAACCAGGAAAACAGAAACAGACAGTGTAAGAATAAACAAAACTGCTCAAGACCTGACATTGGAAATAGAATCAAGAAGGAAAACATAAACTGAGGGGATTCTGGAAATGAAAAATTTGGAAATTTGAATAGGAACTACAGAGGTGAGCTTGACCAACATAATACAAGAGGTGGTAGAAATATCTCAGGCATTGAAGATACAATAGAAGGAATGAGTACATTGGTCAAAAAATGTTATATGTAAAAAATCCCTGACATAAAGCATCCAGAACACTAAGAAAAACTAAACCCAATAGTAATAATAATAGAGGAAGAAGAAGACTCCTGTCAAAGGCCCAGCCAATGTTTTCAGTAAAATCATAGAAGAAAAATTTTCTAACCTAAAGAAGAAGATGCCTATAAAAGTACTAGAAGCATACAGAACATCAAATAAATGTCCCCTCTCTACATAATGATCAAAACACTAAATATGCAGAACGAAGAAAGAATATCAAAAGTTCAAGGGGGGAAAAAACAAGTAACATATAAAGGCAGGCCTATTAGAATTACACCTGATGCTGGTGAGGAGGTAGAGCAAGTAGAATACTCTTCCATTGCTATACGAACTTGTACAGCCACTGTGGAAATCAATATGGTAGTTCCTCAGAAGGATGGGAATCAGCCTACCTCAAGATCTAGCTATACTACTCTAGGACATATATCCAAAAAGGATGCTCCATTCTACCATAAGAACACTTGCTCAGTCATGTTCATTGGAGATTTATTCGTAATAGCCAGAAACTGGAAACAACCCAGATATCCCTCAACAGAAAAAAAAAATGGAAAAGAATATGTGTTGCATTCACACAATGGAATATTACTCAGCCATTAAAAACTGTAACAATATGAAATTTGCTGGTAAATGGATGGAACTAGAAAAAATAAATCATCCTGAATGAGGTAACCCAGACCCAGAAAGATGAATATGTATGTATTTATGTACTCACTTATAAGGGAATATTAGTTGTTAAATAAATGATAACCATGCTATAATTCATAAACCCATAGAAGTTAGGCAAAGATAAGGTTCTAGGAGGGAAGCAGGTATCTCCCTAAGATGGGGAAATAGAATTGACTAAGATGGGGAAATAGAATTGAAATAGAATGGACAGGGTGGGTGAGGATCTGCTACAAGACGCATTTTGTGTCTCTCCATCCAGCTTGGGAGGGTTAATGAGCTGTTCCTCCTTTTGAGTAACTTGATTTTGTTCCTGTACTTGAATGCAGTTCATTCTGGGTTCTGCACAATGATCCTTTTGAATCATCTTCCTTTTGCTTCTCATTAATTTTGTTCACGTGGTCAATCTTTCTTGTTCTAAAATCCCCAGGATGGAAACAGGGTATGAAGAAATCTAAGGATTTCAGAAGCACCAAACCCCAAAATCATGTCATTAAGTCTGAAAATTTATGAAACACATGGACTTCAAATAAGCTTCTCTTTTTCAGGTTTTCTCTCATAAGTGTGAGGAGCACTATACCATACTCCTTAATTTTCTTTCATGTCGGGTATAAAAATTGTACCCAGGTAGACTATTTTTCTTCTCATAGGTGGATTTCTTAATAATTTCCAAATCCACCTCAGATCTACTGGAAGGTTTGAGGCTTCATACCCTTGGCCAGCTAAGCCTTGAGAAAATTCACTGGCATCAAATCCTCAAGTTAACCACCTCCAAGTGTCTTGTTGGTGAAAAGACTCTTTGCGACTTGACTTAGCTGAGGAACAAAAATCACTAAAAGATTTTCGGAAAATCAAAACTTAATTATACAAGTCGCAATGGCTAGAAGAGTGTTTGAGATAGACGATAGCAGTCGCTGGAAATAAAATGTCAACTCTCACCGAGTGATATTCTTATGTCAACCTTGTGCAATCTCTCTCATAAGCTGATCTTTATGAAGCATATTCCCGGTGACCTTCATTCTTCCACCAATTTGGAGTGAGTCAGGAAAACATATACTGAGACATGTTAATTTTAATTTTTTTTTAAATTTCAACCAGCAGAAATACTTCTAAATGTGAGTAATAAAGTAAGGCAAGCCAAAAATTAAACACAAATGCCCCAAGTCCAGATCTTTCTACTTGAGTGGGTGGTCATGCTTCTCTATCAATACTGTTGACACTTAGTCTAGGCTCCGCCCCACAGTTACTTGGCAACAGCCAGGGGTGCCTGACTCACTATAAAAGGGGCTGCTTGCCCTCTCCTCACTCTTTTGCTCTCTTACTTGTGCTCCGGCTCCCTACCCTTTTTCTACCCATTCTCCTCCCCCATCTCTCCATGGCTAGCCTCTCTCCACTCCTCTCTTCCTCTTCCTCCTCCTCTTCCTCCTCCTCCTCTTCTTCCTTCTTCCTCTCTCCTCTCTCCTCTCCCCCCTCTCTCTGTTCCTACTACCTCTCAACTTCCCTCACCATGTCCCAAAAGACTGTTCTATACTATATCATCCTGTAGCTGGTCCCTCAGGAGGAAGAGATGCCTCAGCATAGGCCCTCAGAGGCACTCCCTTCCCCCACACCTTACTGAACCTCCATCAAACATATTCTTGGCTTTTCCCTTATCTTTTTATAAAACATAACAAATACCGGCTTATATAACTAGAGGACAAGAGTTGTAGTCAAGAGACATGCATATTTTCCTAGTATATTATGTCATGCAATGATATGACATAGTCCATTAAATATATTCTTGAGGAAATCTTACTCTTTTAGCTAGCTTCAGATGTCTACTCAACCCAGGCCAGAGTTATCTGAGGGAGTATCACTATGGGGACTCTTCCTATCAGGTTGACTTCTGGGCATATCTGTGGGACATTTTCTTGATTGCTAATTGATATAGGAGGGCCCAGGCCAGTGAGGGAAGAGTTATCCCTTATGGTACTGGAGGGTGTAGAAAAATGTTAGCTAAGCATGAGATTCAGGGAGCAAGCCTGCTCCTGCCTTGAGTTCTGTTTTGGCTTCCTTTGATGATGTATTGTAACCTCTAGGCTGAAATAGATCTTTTCCTCCCCAAGTTCTGTTTAGTCATGATGTTGATCACAGCAACAGAAAGCAGACAAGAACTTTCCCCACCCAATTTGCTCCTCCTGTGAGCTAAACATTGAAGGTAATCTCTGTCTATCATGAGGTCAGTTCTGCCTGCTGCATATAAGGTAAAAGGGGGCTCTGAGGAGAAAGAGATAAATTTGAGTGTGACAGTGTGTGCTTTGCCAACAGGGTCCACTGTTGTAGGGCCTTTTTGCCATCAGTGGAATCAGAGGTAGCTATGTTGCCACTAGCAAATGTGCATAGTGACTTCCTGATGGCCTTTCTCTGATGTGATCAGTGGGGAATGGATATTCACCTTGGTGGGCAGTGTCCTTTTAAAAACAACCAGAACCACCTGAATCTCCCTTTCTATCAAGCCTTGAGCAAATGCATTATCCTGATTATTAAGCAGGGAGAATAGGTTCCTAATTTGCCAGATGTTTAGCCCTCCATATGCTAGCAACTAATAGTGATTCACCCATTTTCTTTTTCATCATAATACTATTTTATTACATGATAAAATAATACAAATATATTATTTTGCTTTGCAAATTTTCAAAAAATCAATAACTTAAATACCAACTGGTAGGGCAACCTAAGCCACCATCAATGCCACCCTTCTTTTTCAAAGTCCTTGGGAAAATGTAGAGACCAGAAAGATGCTTATCCTAATATGGCTTTTTTTCCCAGCCAATGAAAATGCAAGTATGAAGGTAGGTCAGAGGTACACTTAGTGGAGGAGAAGAGATGAAAACAACAACAGCATAAAGCTTTCCTCGCCTTAAGTTCTCAGGGTTTATTCTTGCTGAAGATTAAATAATGTCCCCCTCACACATTTTGCAATCTTTATCTCTGGTCACTGTGAATGTGGTCTTATGGGAAAGAGAGGATCATTGCAGATATATCAGAAGAGAAAGCAGTCATTCGATATTATGCTGGCTCTAAACACAAAATCTGATGCCTTAGTGAAGAGTATTGCAGACACAGACATATGGAGTGAAGACAGTTCTTATGAAGGTGGAGACAGAAAGCCGAATGAGGGAGCTACAAGTTAGAAATGACATGGACTGTCAGTAATCATCAGAAGTTATGGATGCCAAAGGAAAGTCTGCACTAAAGCCTTCAGAGAGAACATGGTGATATCTACACTTTATTTCAGACTTCTAGCTTCTACAATCCCGAGGCAACATATTTCTTTTGAAATAAGTCACCCAGCTTACAGAAAGCAATTTATGATAGCTCTACTATTTAGTTTAATTTTTCCTGTTTTAGTTGTAGAACATTGTTCAAAGAGGCTAAGTAGTTTCCCCAGTCATAGCTGAAGCTCCTATGCCATCTTTCACCTTAGCTCTTTGATAGCTCACCATTGCTGTGACCCTAGAGCCAGAACCTTATGGTGGGATCCCCACCCCCACTGTTGTCCCTCCAGGCTCACTTCAAAAGGCTTTAACTGACATTTAGGATGAGAAAGCCAGCTGACAGAAATTGGCTTATTCTATTATGTTAATTTAGTTGATTTCAGTAGAGACAACCAAAACTCCTCATATTTTGCTCAAAACATCGGTTTTCATATGCAAAATAAAATGGTATTTTTATACATGCAAAATTACTCAGGTCTAAAAGTCAGGTTTATCATTGCCTTTCTGGTGACTACAGTTCTCACTTCTGGCTGCATATGCTAATGAAGCTAAGAGCTTTTTAACATATCATTGTCTCTATCACAGGCTTCTGAATTAAGAGATTTGATATAAAGCCCAGTAATCAGTAATTTTTAAGAGCGGCCCTGATGCTTCCAAAATGTAGTCAGGACATCTATTTTAACTAGATTTTTCTTTTCTTTTTTTTTTCCTTTAGATTTGGTCCTGAATTATCTAAACTAACATAAGCCAAAATACATGTTTGGGGCTCTTTGGAGCTGCCATGGAAATTAATTGGTTTAACAGAAAATTTTGGTTGAATGATTTTAAAATTACAGTCTGATCATGGCTTGTTATTAGCTCACCGGTACTGGGAAATCACTATCTTGCCTCCTGAGTTTTGGTCTCCATTCGGGTAAATACAAAAGCAATTTCAAGGAGGGAAAAATACATCTTCTTGGGACACTAAACATTTATGCAAGAGCTTTTCATTTTTCCTAGTTGAAAACATAGTTATAATTATTTATAATATAAAGTGTATTGAGTTTATTGTATGTATCTGCACTTCTGTTAACAGAAAGATGCCCATGATGATACAGGTGGTAAATGATGGTGTCGAATGAGTTCATGGTCTTCGCTCAGGCTAAGGCATTGTTTTATTAACAGTAAGTACATGAGGTCTCATTGGTACCACTTTCCTTTAGCTGACTAAAAGCACCTTCTCTTTAAACATATTTATGCTTGGATATAAGATCATAAGACTTATTATTTCTCCATTCCTTACAAAATACAAGCAACGAGAAGTAATTTTTGTAAATGGCTTTAGTCTTAACAGCCTTTACAAATCAGGTCTAAATAGATACAGCCTGAGTTGACTAATAGGATTACTGCCGGTCACACCCTCTCCTGAGTCACTCTTGTTGACAATGAAGAAGCTCTATAGAATTCATTGCTAGGATCAGGGTTTTCAAACATAAAATTGTGCGTTTTCCTATAATGCCTCCTTCAACTAGGCTCTTCAGTTTGTCACTGCTCAGTGTGTAAAGTAATATCATTGTGATCATTAGGACATCAATGAAATCAGCTGAAAAAAGTTATTCAGATTAAATTTGGCTTTAATGAGTGCTGAGAAGTCTGATCTCCCTGTGTGTCTGACCATTTATTAATAAAAGCCAATCCAATTGAAGTAAATGCCATAAATGTACAAATGTAGAACATTTGACTTCATAAATTACAAAAAACTATCATTTTGTAAAGTTGTAGATTAAGGAAACATACCCAATACCTTACATATGCCATTAATACAGACATTTCTGCTGTTGCCACCTTCAAAGCAAGGGGTGCCATCAATGACGGCATCCAGCATTTTCTCAGAAAACTGTTCATCTATGGGTCTGCAGTACAGCTCACAGGGATGTGCTGAAGTGAGAAAACAGATACATCTCTTTGAGTTAACGCCATAGTTTAGCCCCTTCCCCCAGATTCCTGTGGACTCCTGACTTACGAGTACCATTTACAAACCCTTCTTTGCCTTTCTGAGACACATGGTAAAATGTAGAACTTTTTGATCCCCTTTTTGTCAATAAAACTTTTATAATTGATTACATTTGTGAGGTTGGTTAAAAATACTATATGCCTTCTGTTGTAAATGAGGAGACCTTTCAATCCTACACTGAACTGTGCGCCTAAAAATAAAACAGCCTAGAACACATTGTATTAACCTATCACATCAATAACGATAACAGGTAACTCAGGACCCAAGCAAGCATGAAGCTTGCTGTCTGTAGGAGGCAAGCTGACTTCTAGGGGGAAGACAGTCCCTTGTCATAGCACTAACATCACTACCAACATCTTAACACATTCTCTAATGAGTAGGCCTATTTCCCCCAACCCCAAGAAGTGCTTAGATACAAATAGAAAACTACATAGAAGCCAAAATTATGAGAACTGCCAAATTGGAACTCAATCTGATCAGCACAGGAGGCCTATCCTTCTACCTTGGGTCCCACTTAGAAGTTCATTCTGAGGTTCAGGATTTCATTGCCTTAAGAATGAAGGCAGGAATGTGTAATGAAATACATCCATCTATATCTGCATACATGATACTGAGAAAGACAAGTGACTTTTAAAACATAACCACCTCAAATGTTTTAATGGTTAATATGTGAAATGGTATTTTTCTTTTGAATGTTATGTTTTGAGTGCTATATTTTATTGCAGTGCTAGAAATTGAATTTAATGCTTCCCACATGCTAGGCAAACATTCTATCATGAAGCTATTCTCCAAACCTATAATTTACTTTAGGTAAGAACTTGAGACTATCTTCTTCAGAAATCTTTTTGAGAGCTCTCTTAGGTCTGTGTGTTATGGGCAGAGCAGTTGGCTTCTTGGTCTGGAGACCAGACTTACTACGAGTGGATGGATGAACCTCAGATGTGAAACAGCACTAAGTGTGTTGGTTTATGGATGTGGTGATCCATGTGACAAAAATAAAAGCATATAACTCAAGCAGGCACAGACATCTGAAGCTAAACACTAAACATCTGAACACTAAGTAGTTTGGATAACCTGGACAAAGACATCAGATACGTCTATATAAAGCTTAAAGGAGTGGGTTATGTAAATAAAGAATACCAACTGATTTCATAGTTGTCTAAAAAGATGGACAAAGTCAGAATATGTCAAAGAGATTATTTTGCAAAGGTCCAGTAAACAAAACCAGAAAATGGAGGTAAAACATAAACCAAGATTATTGTCAATTCCCTCTCACGGTAGTGAGATTAGCACTACTGCTGACCACACTGGAGAAGCACATAGGGGCAGCCACCTGGGACTAGTTATGCTTTCCTAGAGACAAGCTTGTCTATTCCTATGTCCAATCTAGGGAACCACTTACTAAGACATTGATTTGAGTTTGAGAAATCAGATTCAGTATTTTGTATTTGGACACATGCAAAAAAGGGAAGCATTCCTGAATAATTACAGAGATTCCTCTAAAAACAATTATGTACTGCTGAGTGTGATGGTAAACCTTTTTAACCCCAGCACTGAGGATGCAGAAGCAGATGGATCTCTGTGAACTAGAGACCAGGCTAGTCTATCTAGTTCTAATGAACTTCAGAAATCCTTATGTTAATGATGATGCCATGGAAATGATGATAATCGTTTGTTGGGCTCCTGTTGTGTGTGTGTGTGTATGTCATATATACTGTATATATATAAAAGTAGACTTGACATTTTATGCTTTTCATTTCAATTTCGTCAAATTGTCAAGAGACTTGTAACTGCTGCTCAGTTCTTACTACAAACAAACATTGTATCTCTCTTTAGATTACCAATCAAGTTTGCATTAAGTTCATACTTTTTTTCATATTTTCTAAATAACTGGTGTCTTGTCCATTTAGCATAAAGAATATAGATCTTGCTCAGACAGCAAGTGTCTCCACACTTTCTTTAACTGTTACTGTGGACCTTCATACAATGATCCTCTGGTTGCGTCTTAACTACAGAAGTCCTTCTGTTACAGTTCCAGGGCTATGGCTGTACAGTATCCTCGGGGGCAGTCTTAGGGACATTCAGGTCCTGCCAGCTTCTGATCAGCTACTGCCAGTAGAGGGTGGGAAGAAGTGTAAGCTCAATAAGATGCAAACAGAAGTTCAGGCTTGGGGATACAAATGGTTCAAAGCCCTGGACTTGAACCATTATGATACAAATTTTATTCCCAACTCAAAGTACTGAGTTTAGTCTTCACAGAGCAGGCTGTTGAAAGGATTGTGTGATTGTAAGCATTAAAGCACTAACTTCTTGCAGAGAGTGATTACTATTGAACATCACTACTCCAAAAAACTTCTAAATTCATCTTGGCCAATTAAATGCTATGGCATAATCAATATTGTTAGTGAAAATCTTCTGTATGGATCGACACAGAATGCCATTTTAATCATGAGACATTAATTCAAGTGGTCACAAAATAAATGTTATCCTTAGCGAGAGAAGTCGAGAACATCCATTGAGCAGTGGAATGTTTATCCAGAGAGAAATGCACAAATTCACTGAAGTAGCATTTCTATAATGAGATACTGTGCATATATCTGAGAGGAACATGTGAACTTTAATTGTACAATCAATGCTTAGTGAATCAAGAAAGTTGCAGAATTGACAAGGACAATCGATTGTCGTGCAGACAGAAATGCGCTATTAACAATGGTTACTTCTTGGAAATTGATTACGTCTGATGATATAATGAGTATGTGTTTCTCTTTCCTTTGATTTGGAACATTTACAGTTTATAAAACACATATATTCCTTTCCAAACTAATGTCTTAGCTCTGAAACAATAGAACTTGAACAGTCTTGATAATCACAATGTATCTCCATGATGAGAGGTCCTTAGTTCCAAATTTCCCTGCATTCTGCTTTATGGAATTGGTACATCTTTTAACGTTAGATCATATGAACATACATGAAGTATGTTGCACATATAAAACACAAATGTTTGCTGAGTATAACTGTGTAGTTTGCAAAACCTCAAAAATATCCATTGATATTTGTGGCAAAAATAATAGCAGGTAGCATGTAGGCCAACCACTGTTTTTTTTCTTAACTTATTTTTCTTTAAGGTAGGATTTTCTTTAAGGTGTATTAGATAACATGGCATTTCCAAACAAGGTGTGTCTTAGTAGATTTTCCTCTCCCCTTTTCTCCACTACCCTCTTTACCTCTGTTGCTTCCCATTGTAACCTCCCCCAGTCCAGTCTCCTTTCCACTTCCCTAGACCAATTGCTTCTATCCATTCAGAGTTTACATATACTTGAGAAAACCCTGATTGAAGAAGGAAGCATAAATGGAAGGCTTAGGGCCCATTAAACAATTTGCAATACTGAGTCAAAAGTTCTGTGTGCCTGTCCCCATCTTTTCTAGCCTCTCTTTCATGGTAATTTGAGGGAGTCCATAGATACCATTATCCTGTGACATGCCACTCTAAATAAGGAGGCAAGGGTGACAACGGATGGTCTTCGTTCTCCATGATGAACATGTGTAGCAGAGATTCAAGAACACAGATGTCAGCTCCCAGATTCTAAACCTCCAGTATTGAATATTTTCATTGTCTCACATTTATTCACTTGCCCTGCTGCATCCGTTTGTTGAGGTCATGTGATGTTTCCCTGTAGCTTTCAGGAGCACTTATAGTTGGGTTAAGTGAAGCACTAAAACCAAGTTACAGGTGACTTCTGGCCCTCTTGCTGCCTGTTTAACCTTATCAGCATGCTCAAGTGACTGAGTGAATTTACTGAGCCAAATTTTGCACTTCCAATTCTACAGAAATGCAATCACTCACTATGTTTTGGCAATGTTCCTAAGAGTGATTGTTATACAAAAAATAAATAAACTTGTTTTTATAGATGGACTTATCTTCACACTGTGTGATTCATCTGCTATCCCGAAAAAGCCCAGGTAATGAAGTGTAATCATTGAATCAAAGGTGGCAATTTTGATCCTGCTAAAACAGTATGGCTCAATGTTTGAGGAAAATAATCTTAAGAAGTGAACATTAGAAGTAGAAATGTCAAACTTGAAATGAAGGATAGAAACAAGATGAGGAAAAGTTTTGATGCATTTTATGTGGGTTGGGGCAGATAGCAACTATTCAGATGAGAGAGTAGATCACAAGCAGTAGAGAAACCATTAGGCTAGAGGACTGATGCTTCGAACCCAGATAACTGGTTAGTTCATCCATCAGCATATTCAATTCCAGTGATAAAAGTCAATCAGTCCAAAGCATATCAAAGCTTTGTCTACTTTAATGACTCTCATTTATTTAGTGCCTACAGCCATCTAAGCAAACAGTAGGCACATGAGAATTGTTTATAAATCTATGAAAATTCAAGTTGAATCAACCCTTTTTATTCCAACTCAAGTTATTTGACCTATCAGCATTCATTACATACATGCATACACATACATACATACATACATGTATACTGTATACATATACAGTATATACATTCACATATAGTGCATACAAGTCCAATTCTATATTTGTATGTAGTATTCAGTGGTGGCAGGTGAGGGTGAAGGGATGGAAATTTAACACCTGTTACACCAATGAAGCTATTTTGGTATGTTAGTCCTAGAGGCCCATAAAACCAGCAGCCCCAGTAGTTCCAACACAATACAAAATACACAGAACATAGATATAGATGGCACTGACTAAATGTACCTTTGTCATTAGTTACATAATAAAATGTCTCCATTGCACCAATAATCAATTGTCTCACCCTCATTCAAGAAGAACTGGGGGTAAGAAAAAATGATAGTTATCGAGATGTTTTGGAGACTCAAAGTTGGCAAATCTTTATAGCACTTTTCTTTCCACAGCTTTGATTATAATCATTCTAACAGCCAACTGTGAGATTCTTGCATCTGTGACTCATCAGTCTCAGCACATTGGAATTTCAAGAATCTAATAATCACATAAAAGTTAGATTAGCTATTCTTTTTACTCCCTTGCCTCAAATACCCTTAAGTTAGGCAAATCTTTCTTTTTTCATTCCTTGGTCAACATTGAAACATAACATGAAATAGAGTGTCACACTGCTCTGAGCAGTCAGTCTCCTTGGATGTGGGCTCCCAGGAGGGAACTGGTGACAGCTCAGCCTGGCATGTGGCACATGGCTCTGGCCAAGACCTCTGAGCAAATGCAGTACTGCTTAGGAATGTTATTATACACTGGGTGGAAAGGAAAAGTTGAATATGGAGAAGGATATTAAATTAAGAGCAAAAAAGGTAGAGTAAATAAATCCACATAGATAATAATCTCAAAAGAAAAGAAAAGAGACAAAAAGTGATATAAATGTTTTCAAAGGCACATAAATACTGAATAAATAAGTAAACCCATGACTTTGATCCCAATCTGGGAAGCAAAAGCAGAGAAGATAGGATCCTTGTAAGTTTAAGGCTATCCTGATCTACAGAACAAATCCAGGATATCCCAGGGTACACAAAGAAATTCTGTATCAATAAATAATAATAAACACATGTCATTGTAGAGAATATCTGCACTCCACACAATCATGGTTTAAATTATCAAGTGAAAATGGTTATATGTTCAGTGGTAATGGCAGTCTTACGCATCCTCTTTGAGAGAGGTCAAAATGGAGTGTACCCAGATAGAAAAGGGGCTGCTAGACTGGATCCGTTTATACTTTTAATGACTTCAAACTACTGGACAAAGGGTATGTTATGTTGGAAGAGAGGGTTTATGTTTATGTCAACAGAAAAGAAGAAAAGGTTTTTTATTCCATCTCAAATTATAGAAATCAGATTTGACAGAGGGAGACTTCCTAAAGATCTGGGCTACAGACAGGAAACACATCAAGATCAAAACAGGTAACAGAACAGGTGATCCTTGGGAACAGCTCTGAAACTGGCTGCAACATGAAAAGGTCTCCAGCCAAAACTTCAACTTGCATGGACAACAAATCTTTTGGCTACAAAACCCTCACAACATATTATTGTAGGGCATCTTTTCTAAGGGGATGAATGGAAGTTTAGTGTAGTTTGATTATATGATCAAACTAACTTCTAAAGATGGGATTTCTGTTCCCTGGGCTTGCGGTCTGAGACAGAGACCATGAGGAGCAGGAGAGAGGAGAATAGGGAAGGACACCATGGGGTAGGTGGATTGTGAGACCATGGTCATGAGAGCTGGCCTGTTGGGGTAGAAGAAGCCTAGATAGAACATGGCAAGTTATATCTTGTGTTTAGTGACAGAGAAGAAGACAAAAGAGCATAGAGGACTGATGTGCTTTTAAGGCTTATTATAAACATAAAGGTTTGTATCTTTTATTTGGGAATTAAATGATCTAAGGTGGGGTAGAAACCCCCAATAATATTTACCACAACAGCTACCATTACATTCTCCAGCTCAGTTATGTCTCCATCCCTGGACACCCATCCCTTAGATTTTTGGTTTTACTTTATAACCTTCTGGTACTACGTTGCACATATGAAATGTCGGTCTCAGGTTCAGCATTAATTTCTGAGGAAGGCATTCTTACTATCTTGTCATTTTTGAACTGTTCTCTTCCATATGGAATGACCTTTGAGACTGCCTTCCATTTTCTTTCCTTTACAGAAAGATCTACTGTACTTAAACTCCTCAACTTCTTCCATGGAAGGCTCCTTTGAAGTTGGTCTCACCCCACCATTTGGAATATCTACTGACTGTCTAAATTCCTCCATGTCCCAGTTATCTACTGAAAACCAGCCCTCATGTTTAACGAATGTCATGTTCATCACCCACAGGGAAGACTGGACATACTCAGACTTCAAAATTTAAAAGTCAGCTTGAGCCAGTCAGAGTTACTGTCTTCCACAACTGAGAAACCCCAATGCTATTGTTTTTTCTGTTGACCTTTGCAGGGCTTCTGAGAAACTCCAGATCCAAGGTGTACATTTACAGTCCCTTACCTGCATTAAACACTGGGAACCAGCGGTAGAATTGGTTTTTGTAGGGGACTGTGTCAAATTCACTGCACTGCATCTGCCGGAATGTCGGAGTGTCTGAGCGGCAGGGGTGGACATTGCATAAGCGATAGCGTTTTCTTTCTCCGGTGCAGTATTTCCCTCCAAACTTTGGTCTATAGATGAAAGAGACAAGCTGTTCTTTACATTTCCCAAGAAGTCAACAATTTCCTTTCAAAATCCCTTGCCACCTAGCCATGACTGTTCCTTGTCAAAACATGCCTGTTTCTGACCTAAAGAAACAGATAAATATTTTCAATTTCATAACTGTTTGGGAGTGTTTATGTTTCTCACTAGTCCTTTGGTCCTAAGCTCCCTGTTATAAAACATACATGAATATGCCTGCTTTAATTAAACATATACCTGTTTAAAATGATTTATATTTTAATAGGAATATGGATTTCTATTAAATTTTATATACATTGCTATAGAATTATAGAATATTATATAATTATACAGTTATTATGCAATATATATGTTTCCAATGGCAAAATTCCCAGGAAAAATACATGAGGAAAATAGAAAAGTTTTACATTCACCATATCTTCCTTCTTTGATTTCTTCTTAGCAAATAACAATGGCCAGATTGTAGAATCATTCATACTTGGCCAATCTTGGATCTGGCTCCCAGTTGTTTGCATTTATTTAATTGTTTGTTTTTTGAAAGAAGATCTTGTTATGTAGTCCTGGCTAGCCTAGAACTTGCTAGGTTGATCAGGCTGGTCTCAATCTTACAGCGATCTCTCTGCCTTCACCTTCTGAATGCTAAGATTAAAGGCATGCACTACCATGTCCAGCCTATCCAGTTGTATTTTTATATGTGTTTTCTCTTTCTCAGGTACACAGCTAAAAACCAGTCTGATCATTATCTTCATGCTTATGTTCCCTTTGCCAACTAAAATAAAATACAACCCCCTGTGCACAATGTATGTTATTAGAATATCTTAAGTATATTAGTTTCTTGTTTAAAGATTTTTTTTTCTAGTGTCACCCAGTGGCTAAAATATGTCAATCAAATCTAAGTTCTTGTGATTGGCACTCCAGGCTTTCATGATCCTGTCATAATTGATCTTATCAAGCTTTGCCTATTTTCCTTTATGTATTTATTTCCTTGAGTTTTTCTGTGCCTCTGCATGAACTTCCTTATTCTTAAGTCTTTCCATGTCTACCTGATGCCTATTCTTTGAGGGCCAAATAAATGCCATCTCCATCATAAACCTCCTCTGGATGCCAACCACAAGTGATCTATTTCTCCTTTTAAAAGATACTGCATGGTCTCCAGATGGCCCCTCCTTCAGTTTCTGTACCACACTGTGTCTCCATATTTGCTCCCTTGAGTATTTTGTTACTTTTTCTAAGAAGGACCGAGGCACCCCCATTTGGTCTTCCTTCTTCATGAGCTTCATGTGGTCTGTGAGTTGAATCTTAGGTATTTCAAGCTTCTGGGCTAATATCCACTTATCATTGAGTGAATACCATGCGTGTTCTTTTGTGATTGGGTTACCTCACTCAGGATGATATTTTCTAGTTCCAATCATTTACCTAAGAATTTCTCAAATTCATTGTTTTTAATAGCTGAGTAGTAATCCATTGTGTAAATGTACCACATTTTTGCATCCATTCCTCTGTTGAAGGACATCTGGGTTCTTTCCAGCTTCTGTCTATTATAAATAAGGCTGCTATGAACATAGTGGAGCATGTTATATGTCCTTGTTATATGTTGGAGCATCTTCTGGGTATATGCCCAGGAGTGGTATAGCTGGGTCCTCAGGTAATGCTATGTCCAAGTATCCATCCCATGTACAGTCACCAAATGTAGATGCTGATGTGGATGTCAGGAAGTGCATGCTGACAGGAGCCTGATATAGCTGTCTCCTTAGAGGTCTGCCAGAGTCTGACATATTCAGAGGTGGATGCTCACAATTAACCATTGAACTGATCAAGGGGTTCCCAATGGAGGAGTTAGAAGACTGAAGAAGCTGAAAAGGTTTGCGGCCCCATGAGGAAAGCAATAATATCAACCAACCAGAGCTCCTAGGGTCTAAACCACCAGCCTGAGTGCATATAGGGAGGGATCCATGGCTCCACCTGTATATGTAGGGGAGGATGGGCTTGTCGGGCATAGGTGGGAGAGGAGATCCTTGGTCCCATGAAGGCTGGACGCCGTGTGTGTGTAAATTCTAGGGTGGGTAGGTAGGAGTGGGGGGTAGGTGGAGGCACATCCTCATAGAAGCAGGAGGAAGGGGGATGGAATAGGGGGTTCCTGGGCAGGGGGAATGGGGTAAGGGGATAACGTCTGAAATGTAAATAAAATCTCCAATTAAAAAAAAACACTTCATGTTCTAACTGTAGTTACTGGCCCTTTTCTGAAGATAGTTCTTTAATGACTCAGTCCAAGTTCTAATTCCTTTATGGAGCCTCTGTAGTACTGTGAGTCCAGCAACATCTTATAGTCATAGAGATAAAAATGAATGTGAGGATATGAGAAGCTCTTACTCAGTATCATGTATATGAGAAAGTAGTATATCAGATCTGCTCTCAGAGAAGCAGAGGGTAGCTGATAGATCTCATGAAGGCTCTCAAATTACTATAACTTCTTACTTGTACCTTGTTGTACCCGAGAGAGATACTATGACTGTCACTGCAGTGTAGCATAATGGGTTCAAAGACTGGATCTTGTATCAACTTGACTTTCTAGTAATTAGATGAATCTAAGCAAGTTATCTTGTTTTTCTGAGCTCCAGTTGTTTGTTATTGTGATTGTAAAATGAGTATACTAATCATTTTACAATAATTTTCAAGGCTCAATGAGATAATGCATATTAGTATTTTAGAGAGTGGTAGTTAGTGCATGGTAAGAACTGATGACACAATAGACTCTTTAGGTATTACGAATACAAACCAACCAACACTGAAATACAACAGTGTTCTTAACAGCATGCTTTGAGGTAGAAAGCATCAGTACAAAGTCAACACAAGTCCTATACTTTCTTAAATTTTACAATTTTTTAAACTATTAAACATCATTTTTGATTGTGAACCTAGCCTAGCCATCTCTCCAGCCCTTAATAAACTACACAGAAGTGAGCAAATTTAAGATAGCAACTAAGAAGGTGTGTCTATGAGTACAACAAGGCTTTGGACAAGGAAGAGCACTCCATGGAAGCAAAGTTGACCAGAAAGAGTCTTTGGAGTGGATAGACATGGAGAACAGTCTCAGAGAAAAGGCTGAAGGTAGGATACACGAGCAGGACAGATTCAATCATGTGCTGGAAGCAAGAAGTGCATTTCTCAGCTAATAATGGCAAAGCCAAGGTTTGAACCATGTGTTCTAATCTAATGCCTGAGTTCTTATCCATGTTCTGTCTCAGCTGATTTGCAGCCCTGAGAGACAATCCTGCCAGTCTAGTTGTGTTCTTGTTCTCTTTGATATTTGTGAGACTTACTTTACCCCCTTCCCCATCTTTCTTAGTGCACCTTGAGAGCTCAGGGCAGCACACATAGATGCTCTTCATTTGTCTCTTCCGTGTAGGAGGAACTAAGAATTGCCCTTAACTTCTGAATGCCAGTCTCCATTCAATGAGAGAGGCTCTGTGATTTGGCACCTGTCCATCTCATTTTCCACAAACAAATATTACCAGGAGTCTCATCTGAGCCAAGACGTGCCAGTGTTTCACTATCTCTATAGTTGGTCTCATGTGACCAATGTCAATGATAAGGTCAGGAAAAATACCCAGAGAAGAATACATTAAAAAAAAAACACAATTGCATATTAAGTGTGATTGAAGAAAGGTACAGTCTTCAGCATAAGTGGGTGTAGTTGGCTCATACACTGCTCTGACTTTGTGACTGGAATCACAGAGATCTTTATACAACAAATTGCCATTAACTGTGGTCTCAATAAAATCAAGGAAATGAGTTATGGAATTAGATGTCATCACTCATTCAAGGAGACTGAGTGAGAAATTGAAGCCTTGGAGATGGACACTAGGACTTTCTGTCCTCTAATGTTGAGCTAGTAAATTATTCTTCAGTTCCTTAGAGAGGCCGCCCCTTCTCTGAAGACTATAGGTTATTAAACATCTTTCCAAGCTTAGGGAGTGGTGTCTGAATACATACCACAAGTCTCAGAGCGTACTGCCTGTATTTCCTAATCTCTAAAAGCATACTTCTGTCCAAACTGATATGTATCTTCTCTATAAATTAAGTACTGTGTAAGACATTCCTATTGTTGAAAATAATGGAGTTTTATCAAGGGGAAGAATTTTAAAACAATTACATCATTCTTCCTCAAACAATTACTTACATGTGTAAGTGATGATATTTATAAGTAGCATTTACTTATGAGTAGTATTTCTCACAAATAGTGTTTATTTATAATTTATAATATAATAGGTACTATATTAAGCTACAGATACTTTTAAAATCCTCAGGAAAAAAACCAAAATTTATATATAGCAAATTGTATGCATATATAACACATGGACACATATAATTTACATATAGTATTATGCTTATTAGTAAAAGGAGAAGGTTACAATTTGAAACGTAGATACTGAAAGGCCTTGTAACCACCTTTATCGCTTACATTTAAAAATGTGGACATGTGGAACCCTAAGATTAGATTCATAAAGATGTGCTGTTTGAACATTAATTATAATTTATTCCAAAAAATGTGCTTGGCCATTTTACTAATTATAAAAGGGATGAATAGTTTTATACAATTGTATATTCATTGTGATTGAAATCTAGATATAATCATATCAGCTGAGTTTTACTAATTTACTTCTCACTGAGAGAGCACAGTTATCTGGAAGGATTTAATTTCGTAAGCTCCCGGAGAATTTCACATAGATAGAATATGTCAAAGAAATTTGCTTCTACATTTAAAATAAGTTTGCTTTGTTCTGCCCAAATGATGGAGTAAACTTACTTAGCTGTTATTAAGACTCCAACACCAAGTTAAAACATATTGAAAGAGAATTACATTTTTTTCACCCTGTGTGAATTTTCTCAGTCTTTTTGTCTTAGAGAATTGATCAAGTTTTCCTCATAAACCTCAAAGAATGGTGTCATGCCATTCAAGAATAGTGTCCTAGCGCTTAGAGACGAGAAGAAAACAAGTAATCATGCCAGGCCTTACTCTGGGTTGTTGCAGAGCCTCTCTGCACTCTGAGCTCCTGCCCCACATGTCCTGGAACAGTGTGACCAGGGTGACCAGCGTCCCCAGCCTCCAGGGATGCTCTCTGGCTTCTTCCCCACTGTGATACACTTTCCAGCCATACACCACTGCAAAGAGATATGACAGGGAGGATGTGTGTCAGGAAGAATCCATAGCAAGATTTGCCAAAGACTTTCTAAGTCTAAACCCAATTTTTTCCAAGCAGAAGACTTTCTACAGCAATACATCAGGGGCCACACAGAAAATGGTTTAGAGAGCCTCTTCAGATAAATTAGGTTTCTAGAATCAGATTTATCAGGCACTATAAACTCAGTGACAGATGGTGCCAAACTCCTAAACTACAGACTCACAAAAACAAAATCCACTTAGTGGGTTAGCAGGAGTTAGCATGCCCTCCGGCACTCTGGAGGAGATCTAATGTCTGTGACTTTTCTGCTTAGGAAAATAGAAAGATTTTTAAAATATTCAGTTATGCCAGCCAGCAAGAAGGAGGATTATAAGTGGACTCAATGTGATGTTTTGGAAACAAATCACCTATGCCTTCCAATCTGTAATATTGAGGGAGAAATGTCTAAAACGAAAGTTGATAGCAAGTTCAAAAGGAAACAGAAACCCCATAGAAGTTCATCAGGGGAAGATGGGCTTGATGCTTTACAGGTAAAGTCCTTTCTCATGGACTGAGCACAGTTCTGAGTCCTTTCTCATGGTCCCAGCAATGGTTGGAAAAGAGCAGCAGATCTGAGATGGTTTCCAGGGTCTGGTCTGACTTTGTGAGTCCCATTGGAGGCTCCTCACATCCCCCAGGGCCTTCTTCCTACCTCTTTCCAAGAACTCCAGGACAACTGCCCTCCCACCTTTCTTCCTCAGACCAACAACACATCACCTTCTTCTCACCACAACGAGTCCCATCTGCTGCAGCATCCAGCTTAGAGCGACAGAAGCCTTTCACTGAGCACCACAGTGTCTGGCAAACATTCTGGAAAAACAAAGGAGGGCTTGCATTCAGTTGTATTTTCGAATCCTGTGTGGAAACATATCTGAAAAAGACCCAGTAACTTAGAAGATAAAAAGATAGCGTGCACCAAGGTTTGACCAATAGGATTGCAGGAAGTTAAAAAGTTTCTCCACAACAAAAGAAACTATGAGTAAAGTGAAGAAGAAACATACGGAATGGAAGAAAAACTTTTGCCAGCTATACTTCAGACTGGTGATTCATATCTATCTGTCTGTTATCTTTTTATTATCTATCTATCTATCTATCTATCTATCTATCTATCTATCAATCTATCTGTCTATCCATACACCTATCATCTACCATATATAAAGTACTGTAGAGTAGAATGGGTCCAGATTATAAAAGAATATAAGGAGTTAGGATTGCATCTAATGGATGGCAGTGTTTATAAGAACAGAATAGTAGCATGATTATATTTATGCTTTTAAAATAATAAGAATAGCAATTTGAATAGCAGATAGGCTGGAGGTAGTTAGGATATCAAGAGAAGATAAGCAGAGTAAACACAGTGGTGGTAATGAAGCAGGCAGGACAGAGATGTTAATTACTGAAGAACACAATGCCAAAACTTGACTTATCGATTAGATATTGGAAATAAGGGAGAAGAGTGACTGAAGATGAATCTTATTCCTACCTGGTGATCTAATGATACTCTTCAACCAAATGGGAAATATAGAAAAGGGGCAATTTTAGGGATTAAATTGACTGCTATGGAGTTTATAGGTGTTAAATACGATGTACTCTGTAAATCACCATGGAACTGTCTCTAAGTCATATAGAATTTGTGGCTTTACACAACCCAAAGAAAGTTGGGTCAAAGATTTGCATAAATATAAGTAATTTACAATAAAACTTTCAGCTCTGGGTCTGATCCTCCAGTTTACAAGTGTTTTCTGTGCTTCTTTCAGTATACTGCAGATCTCAGGGCCTGCACAGACCCACCAAAGGCATCAAGAAATCCAACACTCACTTCCACTTCCTGGCAGAATGTAGCATTTGGGCCATATTGGAGCTGGCACTGGTGATGGACATCATAAATTACTCCAGGGGCAATGACATTGGACTTCAAGCCTTTCTTTCTGGGGATATCATCAAGACAGAACCCCCTGCCTCGGCTGCAAACAAGTTAACCAAAACCAGATCAGTTGCATGTAATTCTCTCCCATCATCCAATAGACATTTTCATCATAATAATTTCTTTTTCATTCTCCAGACTGTCTATTCTTATAAACAAGAGAAACCTCTGGACCTTGGAAGAAAGTTAATAAAAGGAAATGCAAATTATATCCAACATAAAAAAGTTTAATTGTTATCTAGGAAATAAAAATAGTAGGTGTCCTAGTTAGGTTTCTATTGCTGTGATAAAGACCATGACCAAAAGCAACTTGGGAAGGAATGGTTTTACTGCTTCTTATACTTCCAGGTAACATACAGTCAGTGAGGGAGGTCAAGGCAGAAACCAGGAAGCAGAGACTGAAGCAGAAACCATGGAGAAATAGTTGTTACTTGTTCGCTCCTCATGGCTTGCTCTGCTTGCTTTCTTATCCAACTTGGGACATAGGTCAGTAGTCAAAAAGACATACTACAGTATTGTCTAAAGGTAATCTGATGGAGGCATGTTCTCAATGGAGGTTTTTCTTTCCACATAAATCTATTTTGTGTCAAGGTGATAAAAACAAAAACAAAACACAGGACAGTAGGAAGACAGACAATCATGATAATTTTGTTAACAGGTTTGAGTGAACTTTTCTGACCTGTCAGTCTCCAAGAACCTAATCTACAACTGTAGTGGTTTGAGTATGCTTGGCCCAGTAAGTGACACTGTTAGGTGGTGTGGCCTTGTCGGAGGAAGTGTCTCATTGTGGGCATAGGCTTTAAGACCTTTATCCTAGCTGCCTGGAAACTAGTCTTCTGTTTGCTTTTGGAACAAGAGGAAGAACTCTTGGCTCCTCCCATGTCATGCCTGCCTGGACACTGCTATGCTCCTGCCTTGATGGTAATAGACTGAACCTCTGAACCTGTAAGCCAGCCCCAATTAAATGTTGTCCTTTATAAGAGTTGCCTTGGTCATGGTGTCTGTTCACAGCAGTAAAACCCTGACTGAGACAACTGTATATAAAAAGTACTTGCCTGTGGATAGGAAGAGTAGTCAGAAAGCAGAGGGGCATCCATTCTCTTGATGCCAACAGGATACTATAGACTGGAAAATGAAACTGATTCTTTTCCAGGCATTAATTTCTCTGTGGAGAACTCACCAAAACTTCTGACTTAGATACTACACTTACTCCAAGAAGCGAGTGATGTACTCCTTGCTGCATTTCGACCATGTCAGTGGAGTCGGATCATACTGAATTTGTTGGGACATGATGTATGGGTGTCTGCCCACGGGCTCACAGTCATTTTCCTTTCCATCATGCTGGATGCCAAAGCTGACTCAAAACACAAGAACAGAAGCAGACAGGCATTAAACAGGAGAAACTCACAGGTTCACCAAAGTGATTAAAAACACAGGAAGCCGCTTTTGTTTCAAAGGAGCTGTTTATAAAGTAAGACTTAGAAGTTGGAAGGACATAACTAGTTTTGGACTCAGAAGTTCAAGAAAGATGAGAGGTAATGCCCTTAACCTCAGCTACATAGCCACAAAGCCATATGGAGAATTAAAAGTAAACTTGTATTTGGCAGAAAGCCGAAAGCTCTCAGTCTGGCTCCCTATATTTTGAAGTCAGAAGGTAAAGCAAACGCCAGTACACTCGCCTTCTCTACTGAAGCCATCCCAGAGTCAACAAATCCAGTTTTCCTTCTCCCTTTCATTCAAGAAGAAGCAGGAAAGCAGTCTCAGGGAGACTTTGGCCCAGGCTCAGGCATGGAAGAATGGATTTCTTTATTCCATTGCAACAGATTTCCAAGGCCAACCCAGTGTGGAGCCCTTGCAGCTCAGTGGTTGATCAGAGATTTTGAAGGTAGAGAATCTGGACTGAACTTGACCTCTGAAGTTAGATGACATTTGAGTTGCTGCAACTTGCCCCATATTTTTTTTTCTCCTAGAAAATTGGTACTCATCAAAATGCTAGGATCTGAATGAAGAAAGATTTGAAAGCCATTTAGCAAGGCCTTATCTATGAGAAGAGATTCATAAGTGACAGAAGTTTAACCTTTAAAAATAATTTTCTTAGGTCTGAGAATATGTCTCAGTAAAGCAAACTTAATAAATTCAAGCAATAAGACATGAGTTCTACCCCTGCCCCTAGAAACAATGTAAAAAGCCAGTATCTATGGTCTGCGTGCTGGGGAAGACTGCTGGTGTTCACTGGTCAACCAGGCTGGCCTTCAAGTTGAGCTCCACACCAGTGAGAGACCCTGTCTTAAAAATATAAAATGGAGAACAAATAAAGAAGATGTAGTTAACCCAGTGTTGATCTCTGGCTTCTTTACACATGTGTATACGTGTACAGACACACATTTACATACACACATTTGCACACATGCATGCACACACATGTGTACACAAGAAAATAATAGTTTTCCAGTTTAATGTCCTTCTTTAAAGAATAATTTTATAGGCTAAAAGAATATATCTTGTTGTCTTGAATGGATATCTGTGTGTTTTGAACTCATTTATTTGTCTGTTCCCTGGTTTTCTACTGTTATGGCTGACCAGGAAGGCAGCTCCAAAGGACCATAATATGAACTGCCTGCAATGCCAGAGGATATCTAGGAAATAAATTGACCCAGAATTTTCTGTTTACAACCAATGTCCTCAGGATTGTCAGAAGGTATCCCAAGACACCTTCTTAGGTATTTACAAAATTTTGTTCTAATGAAACCCTTAGAGCGTAGAGATAATTGGCTTAGATTTAGGATCTGAAGCCCATGTGACTGAGGACCTCACACTTAACTTTAATAGAATATGGTCAGTACCAGCAACTCATGCACAGAATAGACTTTGGGAGATTTAAGAGGTTTTCTTGTTTTGTGTATTATAGTACTAACAATGTACCCCCAAGCTTAAATCACATTCTATGAGTATAAAAATCACAAAGGAGCCACAGAATTAGTCAAAGCTCTTTCAGCACCTATTTCCAAAGAGAGTGATACCGAATAAAAGCTTATACAGGCTTTCCCGGGCTGCCGCCCATCAGTCACACTCAGCTCTTGAAGGGCTTGCTGTACAGGTCATGTACTCAGTAGCTAAAGCACACCCTATACTATGAGAAACTCTCAAAAGTTCATAAAGATAGTTTTGAGCCAGGATCTTATGCAGTTTGGGCTGGCTTTGTAACTTGCTATGTAGCTAAAGATCCCCTTGAACTTGTGGTTCAGGTACCTCTACCTCTAGGTGCTGGAATTCCAGGAGTGTGCCAGCATACTTGGTTCATGCAGTCTTAGGGTCAAACTCAGGACTTCATGCTACTCATCAAGTATTCTACCAACTGAGCAACACTCCTGTTCCAAACGGTGATCTTTTTAGCAGAGGGTGTTCTAATGCACAGAACTGTGTGCCTGCAGTTTACTTTTTTCATATTTCTTGGTACTGAGGACTGAATCTAGATTCTTGCACATAGTAGGCAAGCACTCAACCACAGAACGACATCTTAAGCCATTTGTTTTTGAAATAGAATCTTGCTATTGCAGCCCAGTCTAACTGGAACTCTCGATCCACTTGCTTCTACGTCCACTGACATTATTGGTTGTTACCTACTGACATGCTCCTAGTTACTGGTTCTCCTACACTTTAAATGTAGATGTTCGCCAAAATCTCATTTTAGTTTTCCTACATTTTTTTGTGCATTATAGAACTTCCTCTTGATCTCTATTCTTATTCATGAAATGAAAGAGGTGCTATGAAACAAAGCTGCTCTCTGTCTACTGTCTCAAAGCTGGTGGAGTCATCACATGGGAGCAGTCGGTCAATAATACTGAGGGGTGAGAACACGTGACATCAGATTGGCTGAGAGATTAATCTCCAAGAAGCTGTCTTCTAGTCTTTGGGGTAGAGTCCTAAGAGTAGGTTAGAGTAGGTACCCTGTGCTTTGGGAACAATCCCCAGGCTGACCAGGCTAGCCTATCTGGGAGAGTCTTCATTGTTTCAGTTCTTTTAAAGTGGATTGACTAACTTATAGGCTGAAGTAGCATTGAGGTGCCTGGGTCTCACTGGGACTTTGTGAGGCATATCTACTCTTTAACTCATGTTTATTCATTTGATGATACAGTAGAACTCACAGAGAACATGAGCCACGAAAGTTAAAATATAAAAATTTTAAAGTCTTTCGAAAATGCTAGTTTCGAACACATGGGAGAAAACATTCTATAAATGAAATACATCACAATCTGGAAGCTGGGGTGATGACATTGAACCAATATTCGTGTGTGTGTGTGTATGTGTGTGCATGAATGTGCGTGTGTGCACACTCAGTATAAGCATGGCATTTTAATTACTTAAGAGAAAAATAATATTGCCGGGCAGTGGTGGCACACGCCTTTAATCCCAGCACTTGGCAGAGGCAGAGGTAGGCAAATTTCTGAGTTCCAGGACAGCCTGGTCTACAGCATGAGTTCTAGGACAGCCAGGGCTGCACAAAGAAACCCTGTCTCAAAAAAAAAAAAAACAAAAAAAACCAAAGAGAGATAGAGATAGAGATAGAGATAGATAGATAGATAGATAGATAGAATATCTTATGGGTATTCTAATTTAAACACATTAAACCAAATTTCATACACTGCACCTACATATGAGAGAGGACATTCAGCATTTTTCTCTTTCTGGGTCCGAGTTGCCTTTAATGATTAATGCTAGCTGCATTTATTTACCTCTAAATTTCATTTTCTCTGAAGCTGAATAATAAACTGTTGTGTATATGTATATTTTGATTATGTATATAATAGTTCATAGACATTTAGGCTTAATATACATAAAGTCAATGTTCTAGTAAGAAGGCATGGGGGATTTCAAGAGAAGGTAGAAGGAACAGAGATATAATGGAGGTGGAAAGAAACCCAAGTACCCATCATGTTCTCTCTGGATTCTATTCCTCTAACGGTTGTTATATACATATTCCTAAATATGTAATACAATCTGCTTAATACAATAATACTGGTATGTACATGATTTCAGGGCTGACCACTGGTATGGGACAATGAATCACCTTCTTCTTTCTCTCCTTTTAATTCTGTCTTCCTTTCCTATAATTTTGTTTCTCTGCTCGTAGCATTCTGTTTCTACATGTTACATAAATGGAATGACATGCACGATCTTTCACTAATCACTGTTCTTTAGAGATGCACTGAGGTTGTTGCACGAATTAGTAATTCACCCCTTCTATTGCTAATTGTAGGTATTTATCAGAGTTTCTCAACCATTCATCTTGGTGGGTTCAAATGCCACCAGATTCATTTCCAATTTGAATTTAAGCTTTTTAAAACATTCATGCACAATCTTTTATGTGAGCACAATTTTTCATTTTTATTTTCCAGATGAAAACCCAAGAAAATAACTGTTGGGTCATATGGTAATTTCAGGCTTAGTTTAAAAAAGCCTGCCCAAGTGTTCTGCAGAATGTTTGATCTATTTCATATTTTACTGGCAGCAAATAAGACTTCATCTGCATCCTCACTAGCATTAGGTGTCATTGTTTATATATGTTATTTATTATCATTAATATTTATTCGTTATTTTCGTAGTAGTGTACTAACACACTGCTGTTGATTTAATTTGCATGTCCCTGTAACAAATGACATCAACCACATTATTCTAATGTTTATTTCACATCTCTATATTCTTTTGGTGAAATGTCAATTCATCTATTTTGGCCATTTTCATTTCTTTCTTCTATAAGTAATATCTGTAATTTAATTGTCTCATTACAGACATCAAATTGTCTAGACAATTTGTTGTGACTCAATGAATAAGCTTGGGGCAGAGTATTTGTTATTCTTTTTAATTGTTATTTTATTTATTTATTTATTTTTTTACTTTGAAATAGCAGATTTTCATATGGCATTTTCATATCTTGTGAGTTTTGGTTAACTCCCACCTTGACCCCTATCCCTGTCTCTTCTTCTCCCACATATCATTGCACTGTACCCTCAAAACTTCCACCTTCATATTATCCTTTGACTTCCATCTCATATTGTGAATGGTTGAGTTTTTGAAAATTATTTTTAAATATATTCTAGATTTTGTCCTTTTTTAAGGACACGCTGTATTATTTTCTTGGGGAATTCTAAAAAGAATTACTGAAACTTTAGTAACTTAGTAAGAAAAATCCATTACCTCAAAGTTCTGAAGCCCAGAAACCTAGAATCAAAGGTCAGGTGACTATGGAACGGGATTAAACTTCCAACCTTGGTGTCCGTGTGCTCTAGAAAGTAGGAGTGTGATTCCTTTCCAATGTTCATGTTATATCTCATCATTTTAATGAACTCATGTATT